TGTATGATGTTCTTGATGTCATCCCACAACTCTTCTGGTCTTCAGTCTTTAGTGTTTAATGTATCAAATCTGTTCTTCAGATGATCTCTAAAAACCAATTCATTAGAGGCATCCAAATTGGCAAAGAAGAAGTTAAACTCTCTCTATTAGATAATATGATTCTATACATAGAAAATCCCAAAGACTCAGCAAAGACATTATTGGTACTCAGTGAAAGATTCAGCAAAGTGGCAAGGGATATGATTAATATACAAAAGTCAGTTGGATTCCTCTATATTAATAAAAATAGCTCTGAAAAGGATATAAGAAAACAATACTATTTATAGTGGACATAGGAATAAATCTAACTACAAAACAAAAGACATATACAAAGAAAACTACAAAGCACTACTACAAGATAGCAAAAGAGAATTAGAAAAATGGAAGAAAATACCATGTTCATGAATAGGAAGACTTAACATGGTGAAAGCAATCTACAGATATAATGCAATTCCAATCCAGATTCCAACAACATTCTTTAAAGAGATGGAAAAAATGATCATGAACTTTATATAGAAAGGAAAGAGACCTTGGCTAGGCAAAGCACTGCGTAAGAGGTCTTTGTTCCAAAGAACTAAGTTGTTTCAAAGAACAGAGTTGGAGACCTCTCACTCCCTGATCTCAAAAATATTACACAGCCACAGTGATCAAACAGCCTGGTACTGGTGCAACAAAATATACATGGATCAATGGAACAGAATTGAGAACAGTGTTCTGAGAACCCAGAAGTAAATCCATCCACATACAGCCAGTTAATCTTTGACAAAGGACCAGAACACATTAAATGGGGAAGAAGGAGTCTCTTCAACAAATGATGCTGCTAGAATTTTTTAATTTGCACAATAATGAAACATGGTCCATACCTCACACTCTATACAAAACAAACTCAACATGGATTAAAGATCTAATGTAAAACTTAGAACTATAAAGATCATCAATGAAAAAATAAGGACAAACTTAGGGGCTTTACTGGTTCTTTGAAAGAATTAACAAAATCAACAGACCATTGGCAAACCTAACAAAAGAAAAGA